GGGATACTCAGATATTGGTTGCTTTGACCAGCCCCTCCATTGGATTTGGCTCCTCATAAGGGCCATGTATTGAGGATCCAAGGCATGAAGAAAGTGACAGTCTGGCTTTGATAAGCCATGCCCTATTTGAAATTCTGTATTTCCTCACACTGCATGGAGAGCAAGGCTGTAATAGCATAATCTTTCTCATTTACATTTTCCTTCAGCGTAGAGCTGTCCCAGAGAAAAAGACTCATTGGAGCTCAGGTTATTCAGGCATATTGACTGCCTGATAGTTGTCACTCCTACATAGCTGCATCATTCCTTGGTGCTAAACTCATTTGTGAAGATAGAGGTATGGTGGGAAATGACACCCACCGGTAGCAGCAAGTGGTAAAATTTAAAAGAGTTTTCATTTACTCATTTTACAGTGTGATATATTGGGGTTATGCTAAGTTATTGGTATATTTTATTGGTGCCTTCTATTTTTATAGGTTTTTTTTTTCTTTTCTTTCTTTTTTTTTTTTTTTTTCCCTGACTCTATTTAACTCCTTAGCCACCTTCCAGACAATCTTTATTTCTGTGACAATCATGGCATGACAAGAAAAAGTAAGCTGGTATGAGTGGTTTCCTCCCTGCTTCTTCAGCCTGAAGTCAAATTAATTCTGGGTCATCAAGAAAGCTGCAAGGAATGGCCTGTGAGCAAGGACAGGAAGGACTTGTGTGACATTAGTTCATACTCTCACCTTTCCCTCCTGAGCTGTAAGTGGTCTTCAGTTTACCACGACAAATGACCTGGCTTAATAAAAATGAGGGCCAAGATTTACTGCAGCTGTTGTTTGATTTCAACTTTCAGTGCTGTATCCACAGCAGTGTTTGTAGCCAAAGCTCCACAGAAAGGCAAAAGTACCAATAAATTTGAAAAAAATAAATAAAATCTGTAGGCAATCTGTTATTTTATATTAATGTTTTTTGACTATGTGACTGTTACTTTAATGACACATTTTTGCCCACTGTATTCAACTGCTGTGGATAGGCAACTGGCCGAGTTCAGCAGCACAGTTCACAATGACTGGAGAAATAAAGAATATGCACACAGTATTGTGGTTTAACTCAGCAAGCAGCTAAGCACCATGAGGATTTTCGTTCACTCTCTCCCACAGTGGAATGGGGGAAATAACTGGAAAATAAAAAGGTAAAGCTTGTAGACCAAAATAAAATTATTTACTAAGAAAAAAAAGAGAGAAATAACAGCAATGATAGTAATATATATGTGTGTGTATGTATATGTAAGTCGCCCTTAAAAGTTATGCTTCCTATTTAATTCCATGGAAACTACAGATGCAAAAAGAGAAAAGCAGATACAAAGAGCACAGTAACACTATTTGAAAATGCTAATTTCATCTACAAAAAACACTGTTTTTCAACACTGTCATCACCACTATGCATTTTCACCAGTGTTGAGCAATAGCCTGCATGATTTGCTTGTAAAAATATGCACAAGCAGAGATGATGCACTGTTGCTGTCTCCAATGCTGAAATTCACTGTTCACCTCACTGTGCTCATACCGACTGTTTGATCTCCATCAACATTCATCAAACATTGATGAATATCTATGAGTGCAATTTTTTCATCCATGGGTGCATGGAGGAATTCAGTGACACACCTTTTCTTCATTTGCACTTCTGTGTCAGACAGCAATCTGTCAGACTGTTCCTCTGTTGCTATCTGTTGCATGACAAAAACATGTAATGGAATACTAGTAGGAAGGTTCTGTCTCTACAAATATCATTCAGGTTAACTCCAGTAGAGAAAAAAAGTTGATAACAGTGGTTTAAAGATGCCAGGTCTGCTACTCTTCTAAATGCCTGCCATTTTCAGAATTGTAAAGTACAGAAAACTCTGTAGTTTCTTTGCAGTTATGATTGTTTTGGTCAAAGACAGGTGTCCAGGTATGTGTGTATTAAATAAACTTACAGTAAAACAAGAGCTATCACAATTGCTGCTTATCCTTACCTATATGTGTCTATGCATAAATATTTACAATCTTGATGTGGTTTTTAAAACAGCATTAATGAAAGACCAAATTCAAACCTTGAATCACTTCTGTTGTTAACAAAAGAGCTGAGATTTAAGTTTTTACATAATGCCTTGTTTTCTGAGTAAATGTAGTCATTTTATTATCTAAATGCTATTCTGACTCTTTTGAGGGTTTTCAGGCTTTCTCATTTGTTTGCTCTCTTCTTACTCTGATTTATAAACAGGTAAAAAGCAAGTAAAAAAATTGAGTCAAATCCTAAAGTTAGAATAGGCTAGCCTCAAAGCATTTGTCATCAGTTCTAGAAATTCAGTTTAGCACAGTGAAACTGACAAGTCACTCTCCATGATGACGGATGACAACTTAGTAAAGGAGAAGAAAAAGAGTCATTTACCAAGCTTCTTTTTTTGATGTAAACAAGGGAGGTCATGTCTGTCTGATATGAATGTTCATTCTAGTTATGATCTCAGTTGTGAAAAGGTTGCACGACAGTAGGGTTAGGCAACAATATTCACTTTATTGCCAGGGAAATTGGAATAGTTGAGCTTCTAGCTGTTCTTTATTTTTTTTTTCCTCCTGTAATACTTATGGTTTTTTTGGTTGTTGTTGCTTTGTTTGTTTGCTTGTTTGTTGTTGTTGTTCTCTTTTATCTACACCATGCCACACTGCACTAACACGAAAGAGTAGTTCTGACCCAGCTCCATACTCTCCCACTCAGCCACCAACGGAAAAACTTTCAAGGAATACCATAGGCAGGAATCTTTTCTGACAATTCTTTGTGAGACCATATGTAGTGCAAATTGTTACAAAATTAGTTCTGGAGTTGACATGTATTTTTATTTTCTGGAGAAGATGACTTGTCCCTCCTTGTGTTGGTCTCTTCAAGCTGATGTGTTCAGAACTCTTTTCCTGGACTCCAACCCAAGTTTTACAGTAATGCATACAGAATGCATATTTTTACCTTTGACTAGCATCTCTGTGGCTGCCCTAGCAAGCACTCTCTACCTTATGGAGACAGGACAGACACATGCTGCTAAATGACTGAATCAGCTAGTAGTTATTGTCTCTCCTTGGAGAAATAACAGCAATAACAACACTTTGTAGGGATGTTCATGCCACCATGATTTTTCTGTTTGCATATTTAGGAAAGCTTCTAATTTTATTTTATTTTTCTTTTTAATAATTCCCACTGTCTCACTTAATTTAAAGGCTGTTTATGAAGTCAACTTCTGAATGGATATGACATAGCTGTGAAAGAAGGACTTGGAGACAGAAAAGCAAGTTATTGTAATAAGTAGACTTAGACTATGTTCCTATCCAGGAAAGATTTTCTGAGAGACAACAAAACCTACTTTACATTTTGCTGACTGTATCTGCCTCATTCTTACTAAGTAGCACTATCTGATGTAAAATGCATCACATGATGCTATGCAGTGCTCCACTGGCTAGGTCTCACCAAAGGAAAGCAGCCTCTTCTTCATGGTCTTTTTTTCACACAGTGGTAATGTGGTAGATAGCAGAACTTCCTTTCTTCTGATGGAATGAGATCTGCATGTGACAGCTTCTGATAATATTGTTGTGCTACAATTTTACTTAGCTTTTAGGAATGAGTCAAACTGACATTTCAGTACCCTGAGATAGCAATTTAAAAAAATCTGAGCTGTGTTGTGATTTTTTACTTGCTTAGACCCAGAGAATCATATGAATGTTTGTTGAAGGGGACCTCTGAAGGTCATCTAAGCCAGCCTCCTATTTGAAATGGAACTGCTGCCATTGCTCGTTTAGATGTGGATTTGTCTAGCTGAGTCTTGAAAATCTCAAAGTACAAAAATTGGTCACCTCTTCTAACCTGCACTATCTCTGGCTGAAGAAGTTTGTCTAATGCCCAATATAAACCTTGAACACATCATCTGCCCTGTGCCAGATAGTGTGGCAATACCTAGAAGCTTAGTTCTGTTGTCCTAACAGCTCTTCATACAACTGTCAGCTGCTGTTACACCATCTCCTTGACCCTTCCTCCCCAAGACTAATGATAACCAGTTTCCTCAGCTTCTCCCTGTACAGGATGCTCTCCCAGCCTCTAACTGTCTTAATGGCCTTCCACTGCCAGAGTATCAGCAATACCGTAGTTCTGTATGCAACAACAGACAAATCCACACACTCCTGAGTGTCAGGGCAAATCCACGTGTCATATCAAATTACTGGAATCCTTATTTTAATGTCAGTATTGGAGGGAGTAGGAAGATGGACTCATGTTTTCCTGTACAACAGCATCTGGTGTCTACACCTATCACAGCACTCCTGCAAGTTTTTACAGTCTGCAATAGAGCATGTGGATAGAACTGCTTATTGAATGATCCATTTGCCTAGATATATGAAAGCTTCCATCACAAAGATGCCTAGTGATCCACAATAGTACATAGACTTATCCAGGTTTAGAGGAATTCTCCTAATGTCGATGAAAGTCTAGTAAGTACCAGTTAGTCATTTTCAACAGCAGAAAGCAAATATCAGACAGCAAGAATCATTCACATTTTCTATATTTTAAATGGAGGGCTAAGAACATTCTGAATAATTTCAGAGTTGAGTATTCAACAAAATACAACGTTCTCTTTAAAAGTTGAAAAATATTACATGGAGACTACGCCTTTATTTGGTATATTTTATTCCTTTGTTTCTTTTCTTTTTACAACAGTGTTTAGTTCACAAAAAAAATAGGGATCATTATAACATGTAAAATTTTTAAAAGATTTCCAGAAGAAAAGGCTTTCTTTTTTTTATGGAGCTATCAAAAATATGACTAAAAATAAAAATGTTTTTCTCTCATCGAGGAATGGATCTGCCAAATGGTATTTCTATAGGAAATCTAAGTCACATTGGATTACCACCCGGATCTATCCAAGTTAAACTACTGTCAACCTGAAGCAATCAAAAATGCTCATGTTATCAGGAATTTATGAAATATGTTTAGAATCACATTACCTGAGGAGTTTTGCCTTTCAATCTTTTAACAATGTATTGAAGAGGAAGGATCTGGAGAAATTCATTTTGCCACTCTAAAGGAGTTAAAAGTGGAGGAATGAAATCAGAAAAGTTCAGGTTCACAATTAAAAGATAAAATTGTAAAGTTATCTTCATACTCACTCCTTCAATAAGGAGAAGAGCATAGAGTTAGGCTTTTGATACAATTAATTATACAAAGAATAGATGCAATTTTGTGATATTCTTGGGCTCAGATTTCTAAATTCACAGCTAATTTTACCATCAGATGAACATTTGTGAAATTAATTAACTAATTTGAAAAACTTTGAGATTCACTAAACAAAAAAGATTGACCCTGCCCTTTGAAAGACTTCTATTGATCAGAAATTGCTCAGTTAAATTTGATCTTTCTTTATACATAAGTTATATTAACATTATTCAAACAATTTAGATATCCAACTTGTAAAAAAATATTAATAAACTAGAAATTGTAATGTGTAAAATAGAAATAACATCCTGCATATATTCTAAAGAATTGTATGCCTATAAAATTCAGCCATCAGTTTTGAAAGCAATTCCTGAGAATCAGCTACCAGTTTTTAGACACCCATCATACTATGCACACATGGTTGTAAACTCATTCGTCCATTTTCACCAGGATGTCTGCATTTGGCTGAAGCTGAGGAGCAATGTCTGCATTTTCTAAATGCTCAACATGCTCTTTGCTTATTTGGTCCCTGTCTTCTTGGCAGATGGACAGGCTACTTCAACTATTTGGAGTATTTGATACGGAGTAGCTGGTGTCTTTGTCTCCATGGGCTTTGGAACTTAATGCAACTTGAAAGGGCAGCCCAGATTGTGTTAAGGCTCGTAGGTCTCAAATTATCACCATCTTATAGACTACATTTACTGAAATTTATAGGGCTGCCTCAACAAGGAGAAAGCAAAGGAAATTAGACAACATCCTGACCAGCTAGCCATAGCTACAGATTTGACTTCTGGGATCACATCACAGAGTATTCAGGTAACCAGTGCCTGAAAAACAGGATGATTGAAATAGCATGGTGGTAACCACGTCCATTTCTGCAGCAAGAATATACTTCGTAGAATAGTAGAGTTAAAAGCAAAGTCCTATCAACTGGACACTGCTGTCATCCTGATTACATCAGGATAAAGCCAAAGTAACCATTGACATATGCTGCAACATTTTGAGCTGATCCAATATTGCATGACAATAATATTGAAAAGCCCATCTTTGATTTTTCAGAATGGTGGTTCAAATTCAAAATTCACTCGTGTAATTCTGCAGCTATACTTATTTCTAATCAATGGGAATACAGTGCTTATTATATCCTGACTGGGAAAAAGTCAGTAGGCTACAAAAAAAAAAAAGACTGTCTGAATGTCTGAAGGCATTAATAAAAGTGTAGTTCTCTACAAAGGAAGAAGTTGCTCACTGATGATGGAGAGAGGGATTTTTTTGGTCTGTGTTAGGAGCCCCACACTTTCCTCAGAAGTAGAGTCCAATTGCAATTAAGTATATACAAACTCAGTGTCAATTAAGGATAACGGTATTTCCCAACATGTTATTTTAGATCTTTGAGGGCAATATGATTTTGTTGACTTTTATTCACAAACGAATCAACAAGAGGATTTGTAATGTTTCTTAGGCACAACAGAACACCAATACTCTTGTATTTTTAATAATGATCTTATTTGCTATACTCTTGGCAGCCTTGGTGCATATTAGTTTCATTGCTGACAACATCAGTGGAGCCAAAATAGTTACTGTAGGTGGATTCTGTTGAGTTTAATTGGAATGTGTGGGGTCACAGCATATCTATTTCTAAATTTAGCATTGTTGTTTTGGGACCAGTGCCCTGTATCAGCCCAATTTGCTGTGCTTTTGATACAGTTTGAAGAGAGGATATGTTGTCTGTTTAAAAGAGTAACTTCTGTGAGTCACGCTACAGACAAGAAATTTTTAAGTGACAAAACATGCACTCACTCAAAAATAATCATTCTGGGTAGATCTGTACCTCGTATGGAGTTCCCTGCCATCAGTGACTCTCCTCTTTCTCTTGGAGCGCTGTTGCTAGGGGCGAAGCTGTATTTGGGCAAGTGTGAGGGCAACTGGCTGATTTTGGGGGCATGGTAAGGGAATTCACACAGAAGAACATACGGAGGCTTAAACTTCTCTCTTTGTGGCAGGTGGTGGCCAGCCTGAGGCAACCATTTGGGGACTGACTTTCCTCTTTTGCACACTGTTGCTTGATAGACTCCCTTAAAACAAGAGTATTGTGTACTGGAGAGAAAGCAAGCACAAAAATTTCCTCTCCTCTCTGAAAAGATGAAAGACTGTCTTAATGAGAGGAGAGGAGTGGTCAATCTTTTAGGGGTGTAATTGTGAGCTGCTGTCTTCAGTGAGGTATGTGATACTGAAAAGCCATTAGCGGTTTCAGCCCAATGCCCTGATTTAGGTGTTGACCCTTTTTTCCTTCATGTCGTTACTCTTATGAGCTCTGTGTGACTAATTTTCTACATGTTTTCAAACAAGGAGATACATGACATGCCACGTTTCACAAGAAATGAACACGATCATCCCTGGGAATCTTCTCTGACAAACAGAGATAGTGAATCAGTTTTCCTATGTTACATGCTGTTAATGGCAATTGTAATCACAGGAAAAAAAAAATAAAATACTGAAGAAAACACTACAGTTTGCAGTATGAAGCTGAGCCCTTCTTACCTTGTTGGGAAAAGTTAGGTTATCATAACAGCTGTTCTTCCTGTTCATAGTCTCAAACTCGCGGTTTTCCCTGTCAGACTTGGAAGTAACTGCGACCTTATCATCAAGATACTAAAGAGAAAAGTTCTTCTAAGCACTGAAATGTGAAAGGAGTCAGGGTATTTTCATACACAAAGAAATAGGACTTTTTTTCATACACAGTGTTACATATTGGTATGGTTTTGCATGAGTAAAAGACCTTCACAAAGAACAAAAGGCAGGAATTCACATTCTTCCTTCACTCTCTTATTTGCACTTCGAGCATTTTCCAAGCAAGCCCATGCTTACCCCTGACACTTTGGGCGCCCAGTTTTATGTGTTTCTTTCTGCCTGTAGGAGAGAAGCTGCAGAACAACAGGCACGAGGCTGCAAATTAATAGATGCTTCTCTGACGCTATTGTCAATATAATTTTTGAATTACATCACTTGAGACCTGTTTACATGCTTACCCTTTTCCAAATGTACTTCTGGGCATCAGAGGGAGCTTATCTTTCACCACCTATCATATCCCACTGGAATCCAACTCACCAATTTTAGCAATAATCTTTTTTTTCGATTTTGTTTTTAGCACCAGGCCGAACATGATCAAATTCTCGTCAGCTCCCAGAGGCCTCTCTTGCTGTCTGCTGTACTTTCCTGCCAGGGTCCGCAGCCTGCTGCACATTCTCAGACTTGCTGATGAGTCACCCGACACGGGAGGACGCGAGGATGGAGCCTGCCCACTGGCCCAGCTGAAAGCCAACACTGGTTGCTATTTAGATCAACAGCAGGAGTGTCAGTGTATTTGCAACATTTTTAAGGATGGTTCAGGAAGCTACAAGTCAAAAAAATATTCTTCTTCCCCAGAAGAAGCCTAATACTGGCTTTGCAGTGTTTACAAACAGCTGTTGCAACAGCCCCAAGCTCTGAAGAAATATGTGACACATCTGAGAATCTGACAGTCAAACCCAGCATTTGTTCCCCTGCATCCCTTCTAAGGACTGGCGTAACAGGAGACGTGGTCTGTGCGGTATTTGTCACTGTGGCAGCTGCTTGCACGGCAGTGGCAGTCGCTATGTGATCACTGGATCTGCGCCTTGCTGCAGCCAGGAGAAAGTGAGCCTGCAGGCAGGGGGGTGAGGAGCCCATTACCAATGCAGTGATAAAAGTAAAGGGGTGCATGCAAGGATTCTGCTACTGAAGTGCAAGAGGCAATAGCACAAGGCTGGAAAAGGGGGGGAGCAGCAAACCCAGATCTTGCAAGGTATTCAGGAAAATGGCATCAGGGCTGCTCTTTCTTTCTTGCTCATCCTGACATCCTGTGAAGGGCAGCGATGTTGACATGGCAGATAGGATAGGCGGTGGAAGCCCAGACCTGGTGTCGCCTCCTTGGACATGCGTGGCATCAAGAGCAGCAGCAGCCGTGTGAGCAGTGCCATTTTGCTCCCAGAAAGCCTATTGTACCAGCAATGCAATGTGCACACAAAACTGCATGGCAACTGTTTCACTAGGAAAATGAATCAGAACAACTAATCTGAACTCGGGTAAGGGATGAGCCTAGGTGCACAGAACAAATTAGGGGGAGAAATGGCTGTACACAAAAAAACCACCATAACAGATTGATCAGTGACAATGTCCAGTAAAGGTAGAGAAACTTCTATTTTATTTTATATTTGGACATGGCTTTTAAGATATTATCTGTATGCTACATTCTCTATATAACATCAATAGCTTGTGTTTGCACTACTGGTGAAATTCTACAGCTTTTAAAGCACATGAAAAAAAAATTTTCCTGCCATTTTTTACATATGTAAAGTTTAGAGAAAATACATGTCAGTACTCAGGGATATTTTCACTTTTATCCCATTAAACTTTACAAATTTTACTGTATTTCTGAATTCTTCAGAGAAGCTTCAAAATTCACAAGTTCATACATTTCATAGAGCATCTGCTGTGAAAAATAAAGAGATTGTGACTTTCAGTTTAAATAACTAAGATTTCCATTATTAAAAATAAAATCCTTGTTATTCAAAATAAAGCCCAAAATAGTTAGCATGGGAACAGCATTAAAAAAAACTAACAAATTTCAGAATATGCAGGAAAATTGTACAAACTGGACGGCTCTGTTTGGTCCATTGGAATTATCCATGTGGAATGTGTAATCACAAATTAGAGTCTGTAGGAGTTATGGAAGGGCATGGAGCCCTGAGGTACAAAGGGACCTGTTAAAGTTCCTTTTAAATCAGCTTAATTCTTGTATATTCAAAACAACTAAATTATTTTCAAAGGCTGTGCCACAGAAATCATTTGGGATAATAAAAATCTACTAATTGTAGTGTTTAAATGGATATTAGAGGGAGATGGAGAGCATGAAGGGAGAAGAGGACAGAATTATTTGGTCCAGGGGACCAGGGGATACAGAGGACCAGCTCTTGACAGAGAAGACTTCTGGAGAGGAGACAAAAAGCCCAGAGATGTTGGTGACAGTCAGTGACATGAGGATGTTTCAATTGCATCTGAGGTTTCTTCAAGCCCTTGTGCACTGAAAAGGAAGAATAAATTTGCATGTCTCAAATTCAGTGTGAATTTTGCAGATCCCTAGTTCAGTAATCTAAGTTTCCCAAAGCTCACTTTTGTTAACAGTATCATGTTTAGCATCTTTCCTGCAGAGATTGCAAAGCTTTATCAGTGATGCTCTGAGAGCTTGCCTTTTCATGACAGACTGCAAAACAGAGGCATAAAGCAGTACAATTTAGTCTTGAATTCCTCCAAATCACCTGTTGGGAAATGGCATCATCGTGACACTGGCAACTACAAAACACTGTTCATGCTAGGTAAAGATGGAAGGAACAAACCCCTAATCAGAGAGTGTTCTCATTACAGGTCACACATCCTGAACTGAATCAAGAAGTCAGAGCACTCTGTTTCTGCTCTTTTTTTTTTTTTTTTTTTCCAGCCAAAATATATGGATATGATATGGAGATTTGGAGTTGTGCAAGTGTCACATTCATACTGTTTCTATTTTTTTCACAAAAGTTCTTGTATCACCAGTAACGCTCTCACTGCAAATGAGGGGCTGGCAGCTTGGGACTGCCAATCTTATACAGTGAGGATTGCTGGTACTGTCGTACAAACAAAATTTTTAGAGAGATGTTTTATAGGATAAGTGGACTGAGAGGAGCACCGCCTTGAAAGAATGGGGTCTGGGAGCTTGTGGTCAACTTAAATGTAGCTCTGACTACTGTACAACTTTTTTAGCAGAATCATTCAGGGAAAAAGAAAATACAAAAGCTCTATCATTTGGAGAAATGATGTCTAAATAAAGGTGCTAGTCCTTATGGCTGGTTTTTGCTCTTTTGCTCTGTTGCTACATGAGCAAATTTAGGTGAAGACTTTTGCCCAGAGTTTCAGCAACAGCTCTGCAGCTCTGCCCTGCCATGACTGGGGCTTCCTAAAGTTAACCTATAGCACTCTATCCTATTGCAGAGCTGCCCTATAACCACAGGACTTGTGGCTCTGCCAGTGTCTGGTGCCTGGCTGAGGCCACAGAAAAGCATCCTTCACCTTCAGGTCAAAGTGAGAATGGTCAGGGCTGGGGCTTCTTCTCTTTTTTATTGCTTCTTTAGTTGTCATGGTTATCACTTGACACCCTCTCCAAAGAAAAAAGAAAGAAAGAAAGGAAAAAGAGGCACATTTGTGTGCAGAAGGGAATGTTCACAAGGGGCTGAAAGACATTTCTGATCCACAGCCTCTGGACCCTCCCCGCAGACTAATAGGCTGCATGCTATAACCAAAATGTCACTATTTTTAAGGTGTCTGACTTTTACCTGCCTCACATAATGGTCACTCTGAAAAGGATTTTGGCAGCTGGCTGACCACTAAGTATGAAGCTGACTTGTATTATTTTTATTTATTTTACATTGTGGTCAGGCTTTCACTTTTTTTTTTTTTTTTTTTTTTTTTTAAGAAACACTAAAATAATAATAATAAATAATAACAAAACAACAGAAACAGAAAAGAGGCAGAGGGAGAAACAGCAGACAGTGCCAGAAGGACGCACACACAGTCAGGAGGGAACCCCATGATGGGCTCTGTGGGGTGGCCCTGCGTGGGGCGGCCCAGCCCCGGCCCTGTTAGCTCAGCAATTTCCTGGCGGTCAGCTTGTCTTGCCATAATCACAGGCTGGCGCCACAAGTGCGTTTCTTAACTGCACACTGTGCCTTGTAATGAATGTGTACTAAAATATACCAAACCACTCTGATCCGGGAGCAGCCGTGACCTCAGGCTTGACAGCTCAACACCATATTTGCTTATATAGCCTGCCTGATAAAAAAGATGCCAGCTGCAATGAATGGAGTGTTTTCTCTCTATCTGTGTTAATTTTATGGTACGTGGAGTATGACTTATTTCAGTCCCACTCTGCTCTTTAATTGGCCTTAGGTTGGGATCTTCTCTGGGCTACCAGCGGTCACACAGCAGGCTGTGAAACAGGGCTGGCCTGAGCTGATACAATGCAACAGGCAGACGGCACTTCTCTTAGGGAGAGAAGTTTCCATTCCTTGCACAGGTGCACACTTTCCCTCTCAGCACAAAACTTATCGCAGATCCAGATACGAATAGGTTATATTAAATTATGTAAAGACTACATTGTTCTCTCAGACTTCCTTACAACTCATAAATAATCTGTTTGAGCTTTAGAGACCTCTAAATGTAAATTCAGGATGGTCCACCATTTCATAAAGGCTCATACACCACAACCTTCTATCAAGCTCAGCAGGATTCCCACTGTTTCTCTCGCTTTTATGTTATCAAGAGGAACAAGACACAATATCAGAACCTTTATCATACACAGTAATAATTTAAATAAATGTAATATAAAAACCCACTGAAAAGTAACATACAGAATCCCAGCAATGTTGATCAGGGCAACTGAGATTAAATTCAGATATTTTTCTGCAGCTGTTCCGACATGGTTTGCATGCAGTTAACATGAGGAATCTCTGAATGCAATTTTCAAAGTACTTGTCACTTTTTTTTTTTCTTTCCCACAGACATGAGACTGTGAAGGAGACATTATTCACATGAAAAGGTTCCTAAAAACACCTTGTATTTTGGTAATATTAGCTGGAGCAGCTGTTATTAGAATCCTACGACAGCATTAGTGATTAGTCATCACTAATAAAAAAGTTAAGGAGTTTTTACAAACCTGCTTTCACAGTATAATTTACACAATAAATTTGATGGGATACTCTAAATATGTTCTTTTATTTGTCTTGTGTTTGAAGAACAAAGTCATTTTCCAGCTTATTTTTAGGCCTGGAAGGAATAATGCAGAGCGCAGCTATGCATGGTTTCTCATTGGGTGGCTGCACACAGCTTGCCCTGGAATTGGTAACCTGGCAGAACTTATTGCTCTGATGAAGAAATTCTTGCCCAAATTTCTTGAGAATAATAGGCACAGTCCATTTTCTGCAGTTTTTCCTTTGTGACACTTGCAGTCTTACTTTAGATTGAGGTGCATCATTCTCCTCATAAATCCCATGTCAGATTGCTGGATGACATTAATTTGAGTAGGCAGCTGCACCCTGATTCTGAATTTGTATTCTTACAAATTCTTATGAATTTGTAAGAAAGGTTTATTATGGAGGAATTCCTCTAAATTTACAGTTTCATAAGGGAGAGCAAGTTCAGGTTGGGCACTCTGGTGTGGTTTGGCATGACCTGGGAAGACAAAGATTAAGTTGAAGTGTTGTCTATCAGAATGACGTGGCCTTTGGTCTGCCTGCAGTCTGTAAGGTATATGCTTCTTATGCACAGCTCTGAGGATAATCAACCTGCCTGCAAGTACTTTAGATCACCTCTGGTTTTGGGGGACAGTTGAAGCTCTTCTGCCTAAGAGTACCCCTGGTTGAACAAAAGAATTGGGCAAG